TACATATGCATATCAAAGACATTGTGGTCTTTGTTTGCTGGGTTTTTTTTTTTTTTTTCCCAGACTATCCCAGTGATGACGTTTTTCCCCCAGACCATATCAAAGATGTTGTGTGTGATTTTTTTTCTTTTTGATTTTTTTAGACTATACCGGAGACAGTGTGCGTGAGCACTCGCCGTTACCTCAACGCCAGCGGAGGTCACCGCCTCCCGGGCCTGGCCCCGGGCAACTACTCTCTCAAGATAATGGCTCACTCCCTGGCAGGCAACGGGAGCTTCACACCGGCAGTCTTCTTTTCTATACCGCATGTCGCAGGTAGGTTTGAATATATACCAATGTGTTGCGTGTGTCACTGGGCCCTTGTTACACAGGAGAAGCCTGGGGAGAGGAGTGTATTAACAATTTCTACTCACCCAGCGCGCAGAGCTGAGTACCTTTGTCCCCACATACCAGGATGCAGATGTGGTACATCAGTACTATACCTTGGCAAAAATACCACTATCAGTATGAAATTTTAGCACATTAATGAGAATGAACGTGACAATCGCGTGTTCACTGGAAAAAGGAATAAGAATCAGAACTAATGCCATTAACTCATTCGCTACGCCGAGCCGTGTGGGGCGGCGCGGCTAAAGTGCCGTCAGTACGCTAAGCCGCCCCCCGCGGCGCGAGAACCGATCTTCAATTTTAGCTTAGATTCTATTCCAATCCACATATCCATGTTAAAATAAAGGTCATAATATAATGTTGACTTCTGGGTCAAGCATTTCCACTGAAAATCGGAAATTTAGATTCAGTTTTGAAACGCGATTTCGGAGTTTATTCGACTTTGTTTTATCGCGATGCCAAAATTATAGCCCGGACACCAGTTTTTGTAATTTTACACAACAAAATCTATCATTATTTTGCCCACTAAAGAAGTGTAGGACTCTTTTTTATAATATTGATACGACTGGACTCGTATTGCCAATGCACTGTTATTGGGAAATCAATATTTTTGAGGGCTAGATCTACGTCTACTCAAGACATGTATAGGTTTATTCCAAATGCAATTCTGAATAATTCCATATAAGATACGAGCAGGTTTTTTTCTGATTGTGATCGTTTTTCAAGATTATAAATTTTTTTTGGTTTTCAATATCGGATGTTATGTTCAAAATGTACAAATAATATGGAATGTAGGTAAATAAATGCAAACTTTTCAATATTTTCCAGTTCTATATTCATTTATGGTTATTTTGATGTATCATTTGACTAGGTGCAAACATTTTTTGAGTTTCACCAAAGATTATAAATTTTTTATTTTCAAATTTTATCCGCATCCAATCAAAACTGTGTTGCATAATCGTCTCTTACAGGAACCAAAGTAGAAAAATACATGAATAAACATTACAGAGGTATTCTACAAACCATACTGAAAATATTGGTGTAAAATTCGTTGATATTTATCTGAATTTGTGGCCCCAAAGACCTTTTAACTGCCTAACAGTCATCATCTCTTTCGCTCTCCCGAAAAAAAAATTCGTCCACAAGCCGAAAATAATAAGTAGCGAATGAGTTAAATCTCTAGCACTTTTGTCACCTAAATTCTGTTTGTGGTGCCTGTGGAAAGCAGCCCTCATTCTAAGTACAGTCGACATTTAAAAAAAAATTCGCTGTAATTGTTTTAAACAAACTGACTTTTGTGGTCAAAGACCACTCAATCTTGTGTTATGTATGAGACCACTCAATCTTGTGTTATGTATGAGACCACTCAATCTTGTGTTATGTATGAGACCACTCAATCTTGTGTTATGTATGAGATGCCCTCTTTATTCATTCTGCACAGGTCCTGATGAGAATAACACTGGGACAGTTGTTGCCATCTTCTTAGTTGTTGCGACTCTGTTTGCCATCGTAATTGTCGTTGCAGTTTACAGATACTTCAGATGGTGAGTTGTGTAGTTGCTGTTGATAATGCTGTTTGAAAGAAAGAAATGTCTCTCGAGCGGAGTGCTACCATGTGCAAACTCCAATTTGTCGGGTCTTTTAGACAATTCTCCCCCCCCCCCCCCCCTGTTTATATTATTGTCTTGCTGTAGACCATGATTATATTCTATTGTGTGGTTAGCAATGTGTAATACTGAAATCAAGATTGAAAAGTTAAGTCAGATCTGAGTTTTTAGTATGCAGTTGTTCTAAACATATGAAAGTACAGTCGAACCTGCGTAAGACGGAATCGCAAGGGAGCGAGAAAAAAAATTCAGTCTTAGACAGGGGAATTTAGGGGGGGGGGGGGGTGGTTTCAAAGGCCCAGCCGGTGGGATCAAGGTTCGCTTGTCCGATCGGCAAACAGTGGTCAAAACTTCACACCTCTCAACTGCTATCCTGCCTGATAATGACATGTGTCAATTTTACTTATCCAATTACCACCAGTGCTTGCCTTTCATAGGACCACTGTTTGACCAATTAAAAACAGACACGTTTGAACATCTCTTTTGCTTCCACCCTTAGCCCCACCCACCAATGTCACCCCTCACTGCCATCATTGTAATAATTTGTAACAACGATTCGAGGAACTCTTTTCTCGGCTGGTCCTACGGTCAGGGCGACAGGCATTGGTCAATCTAATTTCACACCGTCCACCTCTGGCTTCTGGCTACCCAGGAAAGTTTCCGGAGTGGTTTGCTACTCGAGCACCCTAACGGGTAGTCGTGAGATTTCACACCCTCACTATACTGACCATCTGCATCACTCAGGGCTCACATGATTGGGTCACATCTACCCCAAAATTGCACCCCTACTCCCCTTCCTCGCCCAGCGGCATGGCCATTGCATTAAGTTTAGAGCCGACGGAACCAAACTTGCCAGTTTTGTTTCAAATCAGGGCTGAGCGGGCAAAGCATTTTCCGTCTTAGACAGGTGAAACCCTAGCAAGGGAGCGGATTTTTCTTTCCGTTTCCACGTTGGACAGGTTTCCGTTTTATACAGGTAATTAAAGAGGAATATATCAAGGGGGGAGCGGGGAGATTCTGTTAAGACAGGTTTCCGTTTTGTACAGGTTTCCGTTAAGGCAGGTTCGACTGTAATACTTTTCTACATTTCCTCAGGAAAAAGAAACAGGCAGAGACGATGGTTTCTCAAAATCCTTACTACATGCCCACTGGTGAATGTAAGTGTCTGATTGTTGGTAGATGGGAAATGTATGTAGCGCCACTGTTTTTTTTTTTTTTTTTTAGAAGAAAAGCTCATTTGTTGCAGATGTGCTCAGTATTCCTGTCTGTATTGACCTGTTGACGGGTTAGTTTGGGTTGTTTGTGGGTGCTCTACGGTAGTTTGCTCCTTTTCTATTGTTACCATTATCAAAGACCTTTGCTGTTGGATTTAGGGTGCATCTCGTAGGTTGTTCTATATGCGATTCCTCTTGCGTTTTTGTCTTTGTGTCGGTCTTGCTTTTTTTTCAGAACTAGATGGGACTTTATTGTGTTGATATGCTTGAAACAAACACTCTAATACTTATATTTTTCTGATTCAACTACGATGTTGGCAAGATCCGTTTCTGGTGAAATGTGGCCTTTACTGAGCTGACTTGCTATAAAGGAGTGGGTAGTTGGAGAGCGTCAGTGGTGGGTTCTACTTCTTTATTATCCCTTTGGTATTTCTATGTGTATTCCTCACTTTTTGCCTACAAAAGTACCAGATTATTCCTTCCCTCCTCCACTCTGTAATGTGGCCTTTGTTCTCATACAGTGTACATTCCTGATGAGTGGGAGATGCCACGTGACAACATTCGGCTCATTAAGGAGTTGGGCCAGGGCTCGTTTGGCACTGTGTGTGAGGGCCAGATGTACAACCCACACACCAAGACACATATCAGCGTGGCCATCAAGGTTAGTCATTCAGGGGGTTGTTTGGAGGGAGGAAATGGGAGAAGAGTTTGAAAGGTTTATGATTTGTGACACATGCTAACTAAATGAGTTACTTCTGGCAATCTGTGAATGGAGATATTGGTTGAAAATCAGCACTTGGTCAAATTTGCCTTTTTTCAACTGATGCCATTTTCTTCAAATTTAACGCATGTTAAAAAAAAAAAAATCATTCATACTAATAAATAGTACAAACTCAACCTATAAGTGTGATGCATCTATGTCCATAGTACTAAAACGTGAGAAGTAACTCATTTTGTCTGCAGGCCTCACATTTTCTCCTACAACTTAAAAGGGAAAGTTAGGAGGGATGGAGCAGGAGGGGAGTTTGAGAGGCGTATGGCTTTCTCTTCACTGTTTATGAGTCCTACTTTTTTTTCTTTCCCTCTGTTGTCTCTGTCTGTCTGTCTGACTTTATCCCAGCACTAGATTATGAACTTTATTATGTCAATGTGCTTGTCTTAACTCAAACAAACAAATTAACACTGGGACTTTCAGATTTCTTGAAGGTATAGACTCTAAAATTATATAATATAAATTTGATTATTATTTTTATTATAAATATAACTTAGAAATTAAGTTCTCGGCTTACTGTGTGCCTATTTATTGGGTCGAAGTCAGTTATGTTGATGAAAACATCTCTAGAGGCACCTGACTTTGGAATCTGGTAAGGAGATGTATACTCGTAAAATTTGGCAACAACATGTGGAGACTGCTTTATATATGAGTAGTGACACGAAGAAATGAGTGGCATGTTGCATTTTGACAATATAACACCACAGGGATCAAATTAGAATTCTGTTCAAGCCCTACAAGTGGGAGAAGACAATATCTGTCTTGTTGCCTTAGTTCTAAATTTATTGTTGCCTCTCCAGTTTGGGAGTGAGAACCCCACAGCTTTGAAAAATATCTGGAAACAGATGAGTGCTACAGTGGACTCATTTTGTCTCATTGCTCTACACAAACAAATGCACACACACACTTTTCTGGGCACACTGTTTGTTCACTTTGTATTTTACTTGTCAGTAGTATGTATGACCTTAGTTTGATTCCCCAAAGAAGCTGTCTTGAACTTTAGTAGGCTTCAGTAGGGTTGGGGAGTTTTCAAGGCTTTCTGCCTTCTTAGCACAGTCCTATTGGGCATAGATGTTTAATTCAGAGGTTTGTACCTCTTTTTTAGCCTAATAGTGTTGAAAGGGGTGTTATGCCTGTACCAGACCAGACCATACCACATCATTTTACCAATGGGTGGTAGATGGGCTTTCTTCTTAGTTCTTAAAGAATCGTTGCAGTGTTTTTTTCCTCGCATGCTTTTCTCTTGACGCTGTATGATAGTTATACGCTATTTCCCCAAAATCTACAGCTTTGCACTTCTTTAATTTCATTGTAATAACTTCACATTCATGGTCTATTTGCCTATTCTTTCCCCGCCCCAGACTGTCAATGACAAAGCTGATTTTCACGAGAGGATCAAAATCCTGACCGAAGCAACCACCATGAAGTAAGTCAAGTCAAACCGTCTGCTCTGTTTTACTTGGATTTCTGTCTCTTAAATTTTTCCTTCAAGTTTCTATCTTCTGTCTTCTTTTCAGTTTCTATGTTTCTATTGTCTTTCTATGGATTTGTCTTTGATTTCCTTCTTTGGATTTCTGTCTTCTTATGTCTTCCTTTGTAGATAATGTATGCACCCTTAAGTGTGGTCTGTTAAAATTACACATAGAGATAACGTACTTAAACACTTGTGTTCGGTCTGTTTGGGTGATATTTACAGTGTGCGTATGTGCGTGCGTGCGTGCATTCGGGAGTGCGCATGCGTGTGTGTGTGGGCGTGCGTGTGTGTGTGCATTCATGTGTGTGTGTGTGTGTGTGTGTGTGTGTGTGTGTGTGTTTGTGTGTGTGTGTCTGTGTATGTGTGCTTGTGGGGTTTTTTTCTTCTCTATTTATTCTTCTTGACTCTTGAGTGTTTCACTTTCTTTCCTTCTTTATTCCTTCTTTTTAAGTACAGGGCAGAAATCTATACTTTCTGTCTTTCTTTCTGTTGTGGTTATCTCCCTTTTTTTCCTTACGCGTTACTCACACGCGTAACACTTCTATTCTAAAGCACTTGTATGACCTATTTGTGTTGCGAATGCTGTAGAACTCTGAACTAAAACTTTTACTAAAAGTAAACTAAAGACTTTGGCCATGCCTGCTCATCCCACAGGGTGTTTGAGTGCCACCACGTTGTGAAGCTGCTGGGCGTGGTCTCCAAGGGTCAGCCGGCGCTGGTGGTCATGGAGCTGATGGCTCAGGGCGACCTGCGGAACTACTTGCGCAAGTGTCGGGTGGATGAGGAGGTGATTGTTTAAGATAAGATAAGATAAGAAAGATAATATTTATTGTCCCAGAGGGGAATTTTTCTTGGCTTTGCAGGACTGTTAAAACACATGCAGGTGTACGTAAAAATTAAATTGATATTACTCTCATTAAAATTCAGTATGAAGAGAAAAATAAAGCTGACAATAATGATCATATCAGATCAGATGCATCACTCCACCACACCCTTGCTGGTTATGTTCTGTCTTCTGGCAGTGGGTTGAACTACTTTGTTTCTCATCTGAAGAGTATAGGGGGAAAAGTGATAGTCAAGATATTTTCAATTCTTGCCATTTTGTGTGGTTTTGGTAGGCTACTTTGTTTGCCTTGTTCCTATTTGTGTAGCAATACCTGCTTAAAAACAGATGTAGTCACATCATCATCATCATCATCATCATCATCAAGTGCCAGATCAGCGAAAGACATCTGTGATCATGGTTCTTCTCTCATTCCTTTGCTCAGATGCTCTAAAAAAGTCACATGTGGGTGGTGAGGTGGGGGGGGGGGGGGGGGTGTGCCCTGGTGTGGTTTGCTTCTTCTTTCCTATCAAACATCTGTCGTCCGTATCTCCCTTTCTTCTTTTTTATGTTTGTTACTCTCTTGTAACAGCTCTAATCTTCTGGCGCTCATATGACCTTATGCAGTTGCGAGTGCAGTGAAACCACTACAAAAACTAAAAAACTACCAAAAAAAGTCACATACTAGTGACAAATTTAAAACAGTCATATATGGAAAGAACAGTAGTAGTCCATTTGAGCCTGTGTAAGAAAGGCAGTAGTTGTCATTAAACTTCTCTCTGGAGTCCTTGACCTCACAGGCCCAGCCAATACTGAGTGTGTCTGTTATTTATTGCTGGCATTAAAGAAATTTCTATACTTTTCTCTGAAGTTTTAGAAAAAGCCAACCAATATTTTGTATTATCTCAAAAATGTGAAGTTTTGTCCAGTATTTTTATATGTGTGGTCTTTACATTTATCTTTCCTCTCTTGCAGGAATATCTGGAGTATCATCCGCCCACGACCAACCAGATCCGACAGATGGCAGGAGAAATTGCCGATGGAATGGCCTACCTGGCAGACAAAAAAATTGTGCACAGAGATCTGGCGGCTCGTAACTGTCTGGTGGCTAAGGATCTTACCGTGAAAATAGCAGGTCACTCATAATTTCTCTAACTACCTTTTCCTTTTCATAACAGAATTTCATATCCTGATGAGGATACGACAGAGTTAATATAATAATATACTCGGGGATCCTAAATTCTCTATTAGCCTTTATTTGTTCATAACAGAATTTCTTATCCTGGAAGAGCTTGGCAAATTTACCCCCTGAGGCGCATGGTTAGCATCTTGGCTGCCTGCTTGTGCAATGTTATTGTCATCTGTCTTGCCTAGCTCTTGTAAGTTAAAATTTTCTTTAATAAAACTCTTTTGAAATGCATGGTAAAAGTCCTTGCTGTGTATTCCTGCTCTGAGTTAAACACAGTTTGTCTATTATCCATTCTTGATGACACCTGCTGAATATTTTCCTCGGGTCTGTGATGGTTGGAAGGCCCCACCGATTGGTCCTATTTCTCTTCTTTCCCTCTGTTGTTTCTGTCTGTCTGTCTTTCTGTCTGTTGTGCTTTTGTCCTGGCACTAACGAACTAGTATTGTGTCAGTGTGCTTCTCCTTTCTCAAAAATGTTTTGCTACAGGCCTACTTTTTCTTGCCGCTCAACACAGATCTGATTTGAATGAAATCCGATTCAGTTCTTCAATTCCATGTCCATTGGTCTTAAGCTACTTATCGTAAATAACATGAAGATAAACAGGTCTATTTGCATGACTCATTATAAATGAGTTGAAAATACAGATTCTTATTATTTTGTGTTTATGTGCAATATACATGTTTCTTTGCCACAATCAGTTTGTATGTAATTTGAATCTTCTAGGGTTCTTGAGACTCGGAGATCACCCCCCCCTAAAAAAAAAAAGTTTAAAAAAATAATAAAAATAACCCCCCAAAAAGCAACAACAAACCAAAAAA